AACAACTGACTGAGGAGGAAGCTTGGACACCTGTTTTATGGTACTGTACTCTTTTCTATTCTTGGTGTTGGGTTGTGTTGTGTTCTTGGCTGCTTTCCTTGCAAGTATTCGTGTTCTCACTTGTTTGTGGCGTCCTCTGGGACCGTCACCTTTTTCTCACCTCAGCTCCCTACCCCGCATTACCTTACCCTCCTTGCGTTCTATGTTAGAGTATTTCCCAGTGCAACCATTTGCGCTGATAGCGCCCCCGCGTCATTTATCACCCTTAACTAGTGAAGTTTTTGGTGGCGGACTCCAATTGCTAGCGCTACTCTTTGCATTTTCTCTGTTTCTCAGTATTGGATCACCTCCACCCAGGAGCTGTGAGGTATTAGCTCCGGAGCCAGTTTTCACGCAATGTCCTGTGTTCATCATGCCTAAATGCTGCAAGTGTAACGCATTGGGCTCTTGTGCCAATTGCAGCTGCGCAAAGAATAGTGTCAGTTGTGACAATTGCGTCCCGCTTTCAAAGGGGAGATGCAGAAACACTAACTTTAGCAAGGCGCCGAGAAGTTGCGCCTCCGTTGCAGCGCCAGATGGTACTCAGCCTGCACTAGCTGGTAGTGGACAAACAGCCTCTACGAGGACACAGGACCTCCAGTCAGCATCAGCCTCTGCTTTGGCATGCAGCCAATCATTGCCTTCTACTGCGGACGTTAATCTTCTGGCATTTCTCGATTCAACGCAGTCGTTAACCACCGATGCATCGCAGCCTGAGGCCAGCTCACAGATGTCAATGCAGGAGTTGCGGCAGGCGTCGCAGCATCCAGACTCTCCGATCCCAGCCGTGTCGCAGCGGCCAACGTCTACCACCCCGTCTACACCGCTGGCCAGTCAGCCCCAGCCACAGCAGCCGGCACGAGACAACTCCAGTACAGAAGCGGCGCACGATTTGGGCCCTTTGCCGACTGCTCCTGAGGGTCAACCAGACAGCCTGCAGGAGGCGTATGAAGAGTGTGTGACTTGGAGGAGAAATTTGTTTATTGTTCCCTTCGGAGCGGCCGGGAAGCAATTTGTTGAGGAAATTGCACGACTGGTTCGCATATTTTCCGATGCGGCGCCCAACCGTGAACGAGCCTGGACATCAATAGCTGTCGCGTGCCACCTCCTGTTGCAGAAACCGCACGGACAGGGCTCCTCCTCCGAACACGGAACTCACCTGACGCGTCGACTTGCTGTTTGGAAGTCAGGAGACATCAACACCCTGCTGCGTGAATGCCGATGCATCCAGGCGCATCTTCCGGCACACCATACCCGGAACGTCGACCAGTCAGGCCAAATTGACGACACCTTGTTTTCAAAACTCGTATGTTCTGGGAAAACGCAGTCAGCCATTCGGATGGTTTGCTCCAGTGGCTCGGGTGGAGTGTTGTCAATGAGCGACACTGTCAGCGGCAGCCCAGGTTCAACAGTACGTGACATTCTGCTTGATAAGCATCCCCAGCCTGCTGTACCTCCGGATGACGCTCTCTTGCAGGGGCATGACGCGGCTACCCCTCAAGATCCGATCCTTTTTGCCAGGCTCACAGGAGCGCTGATCAAGCAGATAAGTCGTCAAATGTCCGGAGCGGCCGGTCCATCGGGCCTGGACTCTGATGCGTGGAAACGCATGTTGACCTGCTTCGCTGCAGCGTCTGACCAGCTCTGTGCGGCAATGGCAGAAGCAGGAAAACGCTTATGCACCCAGGAAGTCCCACCAGAAGAGCTAAGTTCGTTCACTGCGGCCCGCCTCATCCCACTGGACAAGCAACCGGGGGTGCGCCCTATCGCTGTTGGGGAGGTTTTCCGGAGACTAATAGGCAAAGCTGTGATGAAGATAATTCAGTATGACGCCATGCACGCCACAGCCCCTCGTCAACTCTGTGTTGGTGTTCCGTCTGGGTGTGAAGCTGCCGTGCATACGATGACCGACATGCTTGTCTCGCCGGAGGTGGAGGGTGTGCTCTTGGTCGATGCCACCAACGCTTTCAACGCTATGAACCGCACAGCAGCCCTACACAACGTGCCACTCGTCTGCCCTGCCCTGGGGCAGGTGTTCAAGAACACCTACAGCAGTCCATGCCGCCTGTTTGTGTCGGGTGGTGGAGAGATAAGGAGTCAGGAGGGTACCTGCCAAGGTGATCCTCTCGCCATGGCGATATACGCGGTCGCCATGATGCCATTGATAGACAAGCTGTCAGAGTGCTGCCCCGACGTGGTGCAGCTATGGTATGCTGATGACGATGCTGGTGGCGGACAGCTCCTCAATCTAAGGCAGTACTGGGATGGGATTCTGGAGCATGGCCCTGGGTATGGGTACTACCCTAACGCGAACAAGACAACACTAATTGTCAAGGAGCAGCATTCGGCCCTGGCACTCGAGCTTTTCAGGGACACGGGCATTCGTGTTGTGACCGAGGGTGCTCGTTATCTTGGCGGCGCACTCGGTACAACGGTCTTCTGTGAGGAGTATATCACAGATTTGATCGACAAGTGGACGCTGCAGGTTGATCGCCTGGCGGAGGTGGCCACCACTCAGCCACATGCTGCGTACGAGGTGTTTGTAAAGGGCCTCGTGTCCAAGTGGCGGTACCACTTGCGCGTCCTATCTTGCCCTGCGCATCTTCTGGCCCGTCTCGACGCCGCCATTACGGACAAGCTGCTGCCAGCGCTCAGCGGCCATTCGTGTTCGGAGGAGTCGGCACTGAGAAAGTTGCTATCGCTACCAGCGCGGTTTGGTGGCATGGCAATCCCTGTGCCCTCGGTGGAGGCCGAGAAAGAGTTTTCTGCATCCAGACAGATTGTGGCTCCTGTGGCGGCCTGCATAAGACCACCAGAACATCCAACCAGCACCAACGAAACTACTCAAACAGACCAGCTGAACGAGGCAATAGCCCTCAGCCGGCAGGAGGCCGGGCGTATTCGCAGAGAGAAAGCTGCCCAAGCCACGGGTCTCGTTAGCGAATTGCGCCCGGATTTGACAGCAACACAGGCTCTGTTGGTGGAGAATGCCGCGGAAAAGGGCGTATCATCTTGGGTAACGGCGGAACCATCGTCCCAAATGCAGATGGTGCTGAACAAATCGGATTTCCGAGATGCGTTCTGCATCCGCTACGGCCTGCAGCCTGACGGACTCCCCCTGACTTGTGTATGTGGTGCTGCAAACACAATAGACCATGCGATGATGTGTCCGGCAGGGGGCTACCCCATGGCACGCCACAATGAGATCCGGGACTTGTTGGCTGACGTGATGCGTGAGGCGGTCCGGGATGTGGAGGTAGAACCGCCTCTACTACCATATGATGGTGAGCGGCTCCAAGGGAGGACAGCCAACCGCTCGGCAGGTGCCCGCCTGGACATCCGGGCTTGTGGCTTCTGGACGAGACAGCAAGATGCCTTTTTCGACATCCGGGTTACACACCCAAAGGCAAGCTTGCTGTCGCGTCAGGAAGTCATCAGCCAGCTCCGAACGCATGAACGGATGAAGAAGCGCCAGTACGGAGAGCGGGTGACAGCAGTTGACAGAGGTACGTTTACACCGCTAGTTTTTTCTACCTCGGGCATGATTGGCAGAGAATGTTCAATGGCACTGAAGACACTGGCATGCCTGATTGCTGAGAAG